CAAAATCCAACCAGTCTCAGCCTCCCGACCACCCCCCTTGCGGGTTGAGTCATGACGTGCTGGCCCCGGGGAGAGGCGGTAGACGTAGACCTCTACCAGGACCAGACCAGACCAGGATCGGGGATTCATCGCCCTCCGTTTCATTTCCAATCGCCCCGATTACTCCCCGCGGGCTGTGCGGGCCTACGGGCCTGCGGGTGAAACTCGCAGCCCGCGCCACGGGGGAACACACGACGGTTCATGGGTTTGGGATGGACTGACTGGTGAGGGTTCAGCCACGCCTGCACTCTGCACTGGCGTGACAGGCATGGACTGTGGTTGATAGATATCGTTACCTAATGCTTATCTGTCAGGTTGACCGTACTGTAGACACCCAGGTAGAGGTAGGGTACACCCTAAGCCCTGTGCCCTAGAGTACTGTTCCCTCCCCCCTGCGGTGTAGTAGCTATTAGCTGGCAGCTGCAAGTCTAACCCGGGCTGCCAGGGTTAAAAACTTGACAGATTACATTCCACCGTCCCCGACGCATTTCCTAGAGCCGCCAGGGGCTAGGTCGCATCGATAAGCCTAGATTTTTAATTTTTGAACCAAAAATTTCCCACCCTTTCGATAATGTTGCAACATGCCTTTCTCCCCCTCGAGACGAGGGTGACATTTCGCCGTGCTTGGCAGGTTCTCAATGCGGGGGAGACGAGTTTCCCTCAAATCCGGGGTAGGTTTAGGTTCGCGGAGAAAGGGGATGGAGGCTAGAGTATGGTCCTTAAATTGCCCTCCTAGGAAAATTATCCGTGGGCATTGTAGGGAGTATGGTGGTAGCCTGTTACTAACGTAGTTACCACAGTATCATTACAATACCCTGATTCGTCCACATATAATAAACGAGGGGTCGAAGATAGCGGTCGGGTCCAGTTACTCTGTATGGGCGTGGGGGAAAGGCCACTGGCCTAGTAGTAGTAGTAGTACTGTAGGCTACAGGCCTCCCTAACAGGACTGGTGCAACCTCCCTGGGGGCACTTTACCTAAGAGATTACCCTCCATCCGGATATCCGGGTAGACGGAATAAACGGCAAAGGCCGGCCAAGTACGGTGGTACAGTATCCTCCGTACAAAGTTTTCTCCGGGTCGGAGGACAGTCATGCTATAACCACACACCACCTGAGTCTTCGACACACGCACTCTTGCCCCAACGCCAAGGCGAGCGATCCGCGATCCACAGCTTCTGGAACAGATTCCCCTGGCCCAATGAAAGCTCGTAGGCGCATCATGCTGATATCACCGTCCCCAGGATGCGGGGCGTGCCGGAGTCCGAGATCAGATTGGTTGATTTGTGTAGATAGGGGATTTCCTAACAATCACGCAATGGATGGACGGAACAATCTATAGTAGAGCATACAAACTATGGAGAGGGAAACAATTGATAATGATAGATGGTAAAAAGGGGGATCGAGGAGGGGCAATTGACATGCAAGAGAATAAAAAAAAAACTTTGCCGCACCGGCAGAGCAGCGGAGGAGTGGACACTCAAGGCCCGCATTTAGGATGGTGCTAAAAAACTGCTTCCGCACAATTCTTTTGTATCCAGTTCTCGGTGAGGGTCGAATAACTCCCTCTCTCTCTCCATCGCCCCGCTCCACTTTTTACGTTCCCGCTTTGAGGCAATTGTTTTCTTTAACTGGAGGGATTTAATGCTTGACTAATAGCGAAACAAAATTCAAAAAGGGGGGGGGGGGGGGGTTAATTGTGTACGATTTTCTCATACGGTAGTTTTGTATCTATTTTGGCTTACCCCATACTCGCGGATGTTTGTTACCACTACTCAATATTTTTGCCCACTTCATGCCCTAATCTGGTAATAATGTTGTAATCTAGTCCATCCCGGTCTACTTACTCTACTAAGCCCGTCTTAGCCTCCGCGCGGCGGGGGAGAAAGAGGAAATGGCCCCTGGCGGTCGCGGCGATCGACAAGAGGTCCTTCAGCCACTAAATTCCTGCGAACGTGTGGTTTATTATCACGCTCTACTATTGTTCGCACGGCGGGGTTACTATTGAACTCACCGGGAGGATCATGTATGCAATATACGGAGTACTAGCACTTGCATTTGCCCGGTCCTCAACCGAACAGACACGGAGACTGGCTTGAACTCTCAAGTATAGCTTGATATGACAGGTCGCCGCCACAGTGATATCGAGCACCTGCTTATCTACCAATGAGCACCTTCCCTATGTCCACCACCACTTTTGTCCACCAGGCAGTGGGAATGAGCTGATAAGCCCAGAAACAGAAAACCCGGCTCTTGACTCGGGATCCAGATGCAGCAATGAACTAGGGAACCGGGATTGAGCGTGATCTAGGATGAACTCCGGTCCCAATTTGAAGGGGAAGAAGCAAATAGAGATACAGGTACATGCTGGCCACTCTCGCTTTCACGTGTCATGCATATTCTTGCGAGTATTGCGAGCTTTGCGAGCTTCGCGAGGTATTATTCCGGGCTGTTTCGCAGCTTCCTTTACGGATAGGGAGCTGCCCCCGCTGGGTAACGAGCTAGTTACACTTATCTAGCTAGATAGGGGGGACTGGGACTAGATCCCCCAGAGTTCTCCACGAGCTAGCAGCAGAGCTTCTGGTTGGGGAGGGGTTTCACATGTAAATGTCCCTCCGCCAGCAGGACGAGAGCACATGTGTCTGGTAGCTCTACGCCCGCACACATGTGCTTATCGCGATTGATGCGGGCTGTCATCAGTGGCTTCTTCAGAGTTTACGGTTTAACGGATATGGCTCACTTGTCCTTGCTTGCAGTCAAGCAATCAAGCCGGTCGGGGGAGAAGTCCATGTGTGTTGCCGAGGTGGTTTTTTTTACCGGGGCCGGTGATATGGTTGATTGTGCGGTTATGCGGTGGATGATGCCATTATTTGGTGCACTCGCAAGATCTTCTTCGTTGAGGGTGATGGGGTCTTCGGATCGTTGGTTTGATGATCGTCTGATCGGTGCTACGTGGATGATCGACTGTTTATCCCGCGTGGCATGAGAGAGGAGGTTACTATTCGGGATGTAGGCCGAATTGAGTAGAAACTACCGCTACTAGGCAAGATGCTACAATATTAGATGAATTGCATTGCAATAGTCTTCAATAGTATACTTAGATTAGCTGTCATCATGATCCACGGAGATTTCGTGCTGAGAGCACGGAGGATTTACAGTATAGCACACAGTACTCAATACCGCACCGGTCCAGGATGACGGAATGACGACACCGGAGAACAGCTTTCGACTAGACTAGAACCCCTCGCTACTGCAGGTACACACCGGGTCCAGGCTCTCTGCTTCATCAGCCCATAGGTACATACTGTATTCGGTAATCCTACTGCTACTACTACTATAGGGCTGGGATTGGAACTGTAGCAGCTGGACAACTCGGAAAAAGTCGGAAGACGAGGGTCGAGGGGCAATTGTGCCATTCTGGCATGGTTGCGGGGCTTAGTGTGGCTTTTTTTTCAGTCTCCAGTGCTCCACGATGATGGTGGAGGCTGGCCCGTCTGGAGTACTCGTCCAAGAGAAACTGTGGTTAACGGAAGAATAGAACAATTCAGAAGCAAGCCATCCACGGATCGCGGGCCCGGCTATTGCAGATCTCACGATGGGTTGGAGTAGGAATTCAAATTTTCACTGTAACCTATAATAATTTTTTTTCTTGATGGTCGGAGCAAGTACTGTACGGAGTAGTGAGGCTAAAAAGGGACCGACCGGTGAAGCCTTTTCTAGCAGGTTTACCTAACGCCCACGGGGATCTTCCGCAATGTAAAATTTTTCTTTCTCTTCTCCTCCACTTTGAAGACTGGAGTCGATGGAGATATTCCGAGCCGCGGGCCCGGCAACACTCGGCGACTGTACTCGGCACGGCAATGCCGACTCTCGGGCTGGCGTGCTCGTGAACTCGGCCCTGTGTGGCTCGTTTCTTTGGTGCTTTTTATCTCCACATTTGGGAGTTGGGATTTTGGGGAATTGACCCTCGAGTCACGCTTAATGCCCTGGATCAGGCTCGGGCTCAGCTTTCAGCTCTCTCCCGGTCTGGGAGAATGTGGACTGTTGCCGAGATTCTTCCGAGGCTCGAGGCACCTTCTCCCTCGGTGGCCACCCGCGCTGAAGTTTGCCCCTGGGATAGTGCCAATGGATGGGAAAAAAGTAACCCTGAACGGCAGCCATGCACGAATTCTGCTTGGTTCACTTTGTGCATCCATGGACTACTGTATGTGCGTCGTGTACAAGCACCTTCGTCTTACCTGCCTTGTGAGAACTCCAGAGATACTGTATCGTGCAACTCCAATTCCTCGGAAGCCCTCTCCCCCACTCGGATACAGGCGATTACGGTGATCCGACGGTCCCCCACTAAACAATCTCTTATTCCCTTAGCCGATATGCGGAGGTTTTCTTGTCCTCTTCTCCGCATGTAGCGGTCTGATTTTTTTTCCTGTGGGACCTGGCGGTGCTGCCTTTCGTAAGGGTGGACGTGGATGTGGAGGGGCTCAACATAACAAAGCAGCACACGTCTATGACTCTCCTCTATGGAGTGGCTGGTATACAGTCGTATACTTGTGCAGTACGCGGTAGAAGACTGCAATTCTGTTCTATGACGTATGACATGCTCTATACTGCAAAATCTTGTCAATGTCAATGACACAACCTCATCTACAGTCTAAATACTTATCGAGTTTCTCATTATCATCTTCAATATGGACCATTCCATCTCTCCCTCATGACTATGACTCTTATCATCTGCTATCGCGACTTCGGAGCAATGTCCGGCCGTACTAAAAGCGGACAGGTCATTCTGCCACCTTCTCCCGCCCTGAAAAGCGGAGAATCTGCTTGAGTCCAGTGCGCCGCGACCAGCTTCTCAGCTTGGTATAGCAATCGAGTACGGCATTGCTCCTGTCTACTCTCTCCTAAACATCCATTGATATCCCCGGTGTTCCTTCCACGCTTTCTAGCGGGCCCTTGACACCATGGCACCCCCGCGCCAGCGCACCGCCGCCATCGTTGACGACTCGAGGTCCGAAGCCTCCAGCGGCACGCGAGAATTCAAAACCAGCGCGCCAAAGAGTCGAAAGACCGGGACAGCAGCCAAGGATAAGGCCTCCGTGACTAGCGCACCTATAGCAACCGAACAACCAATCGAGGAACAGCCCAGGGTACGTACAGCACTGAACAAACCCTACCGGGGAAAAGGAGAGAAGTCTCGCAGAGCGGCAAACCAACGACGTCAGAGAAGAGAGAGAGAGAGAAAAGAGCAGCCAATTCCTCGAACAAAACCTCGCTAACGCACCACCCCGTTCTCTCTACAGGTCCCCTGGTCCGATCTCCCCCTCGACATCCTCCACGCCTACCGCCACGTCCACAAACTCCCCACCCCCTCCGCCTTCTCAACAGACTATTCCCGCCTCATCCTCTCCCAAGGCGTCGGCCTGCGCTCCCCAACAGCCCTCGCAGCTCGCCGCGCCCAATCAACCCGCTCATCCACCCGCGAGCGCAACGGTACAACCACACAAGACGCCGAGTCCTCGTCTTCGCTGCACCGCATCGTCGGCCAAGACCGCGTGAGCAAGGACCAATTCGCGCTGGTCGTTCGCAAACACTTTAACAGTGTGGGCCTGTCTGAGCAAGAGACTATCGCGCGGTTCTTGTATACCGTTCGTGAGGAGAGGAGGGGTCGTCAGTTTAGATTGCGGTTTCAGCCTTAGGGTGTACCCGCGATTTGATTTGATTTCTTTTCGTGAGATTGGGGGCTGCTTGGTTTGAGCTTGGCTTTGGGTGGCATTCGCGCTGGTTCTGCGTTTGTGTGACATCTTCTTATGATACCCATTGGCGTTTCTGGGATTGGGTTCTTTTTCTTTTTTTTTGGTGGGTAGAGGCGTTTTGTACAGATGCGTTTAGATGCTTTCCGCGGTGTATAGCTAGTCGTGGTGGTATTGTTACGAGGGATAGTTATAGTAACAATGCAGGACTCGCATTATTTAATCGCACTTCCTCGTATCGCGTTAGCTATTTGGGTAGCTATGACTGGTCAATGGATTGCCTGTTATGTTTCGCAGCGAGGCCTGTTGATGCCTATGGTGTCCAAAAGCAGGCCAGTAAGATTCCTATGATGAAATGATCCCCTCTTCTTGTTCTTATCATGAGTTGGGTTTGTAGCTTCTACTGTTCGCACTTCGAGGGGAGAGTGCCAGTCATTGATTCCATTGTGACCTGAATATCTATCAGAATTGTGCATGGATTCGTACAATTCTAGCTCAATAGATAGACCAGCCCGGTAGTTTCCATGCATGTTAATAATTGGTGTGATCAAGTCCCTTAGAACCAATTTTCTACCTCTACTTTGTGTTCTCTTTAATTCTCGCGGACCCGCTCGCTCCCCCATAGTACCATTCGGCAACCCATACCTCATGCTAGCCACACCCGTATATGTCAAACCCACATCACGAAACGGTTCAACCCAAGCATATACCAATGATATTATTGAACCCTAACCATCCCCGGACTATCACCCCCAAATCTTGCATTATAATGCACACTCTAGACTCACCAAATTCCCCGCCACCCCACACCAAAACAATACCCCGGATCGGACCCGGTCACCAGAATAACCCCCGAGCCTCAAAACTACCAATTAGATCGACCATATCCAGAACTTCACTCACTGTGGCTTCCTTGGTCAGTGAATTAGGTTCAGTGGAGTACGAAATTCTGGGGAATTCGATCCCCGCATTTATGTGCTACGAGGGGTGGGGGAATTCTTTAAAGGCAGGCTGGGAACGAGAGATAACAAATGCATTGATCAGGCATTGATCCAAATCTCTGTTTTGATATTTCAATCATCGTATCAAACTCGCCATGTTTGATGAGTATCTCCAAGGCAAGGCATTGCGCCGTCTTTCCCGGTTCAGTTGCTCGGTGGTATGCTCCTTCATCTCGGTACAATGAATGCTATACGTCGCTCACCAACTTGATAGGGATTCCTGATCGAGGGCTACCAAGCTGGAGTCCTCGGTGGTGTACAAGAAACAAAGCCCTTCCTCAATGCTATCGGGGTGAGATTTCATTGCCTACTTTTATAGGGATTGGTTTCTGACTTTACTAGAATCCTACCGGGACGGAGACGATTCCCATGATTGCGTCTTCGTATACACTGGCGGCGGCTTTCATGTCATGTGTCGTTATGCTTATCGGGATGCCTCTTGGTCGTCGGCGGTGCATTATTATTGGTAATGCGTTTATTGCGGTTGGTGGTGTTGTACAGGCTGCGTCGTTCTCGGTTCCTCAGATCATTGTCGCTCGAGTTCTTTGCGTAAGTTGTGTGGTTACTGTTGTTACCTTTCTGTGTCTAAGCTAATGAGTGAATAGGGATTCGGTATTGCAGTAAGTTAAGATCAACTAGTTGATATATGGCGCAATCTAATCAGTTTCCAGTTTATCACCTGCAATGTTCCGATGTACATGGTATGTACTCTGCAGGCTGCCTTGTTTAATTCCAACTAACATCCACAGTCTGAAATGAGCGTTGAAGCCCGAGAGCGGGGCCCTGAAGTTGCAATTAACTGCTCATCTTTGCTCTTCGGCGTTGCCCTATCCTACTGGATAACATTCGGTTTCACTCGCATGACGAACCAGATCTCTTGGGTAGGCAGATAGCCCATACTCTTCTGATCATTTGACCAAAACTAACACCTTTTTCTCCAGCGCATGCCAATAGCCTTCCAATGTATATTTGCCATTCTCTCCGGTGTATCAATGATCTTCCTCCCCGATACACCTAGATGGTACTATGCCCGCGACAACATTCCCGAAGGCGACAAAACCCTCTCCCGAATCTACGGCGTCTACCGCAAGGGCGTCACCAACCACGGCGACGTCCCCGAAATCCAAGCCATGAAGCAGAATATCATGGAAAACTTCCACGTCGAGGAAGAAGACAGCAATCGCTTGACACTCCTAAGCCTCGTGTGGGACAATACCCCGCTACGCGTTGGGCGCCGAGTGCGCATCTCCTTTCTGATTCTCGCTATTCAGCAGTCTATGGGAATTAACATGTTGGTCTACTATATGACGCTTATTTTCACGAATGTCGGGCTCTCGGATTTCCTGGCTTCACTGTTGGCAGCTATTTCCCTGACTGTTCAATGGGTTGGATCGCTCTTGTGTGTTGTTACTATTGAGCGAATCGGTCGGCGCCGGATCATGATGTGGACTGCTTGTATTGAGACGTGCTGTATGTTGATTTTCGTGGTTTTGAATACCCTTCAACACAAGACTGTTTCGACGCAGTGGGCTGCCGCGATGATCATGTTCCCATATATGTTCTTTTACGGATGGGGATGGGTGGGTTGTCCGTGGCTGTATGGTCCTGAGGTATGTATCCACGGATTCAGAGATACGCAGTGCTCTATGGGCTATTGAAGACTAACGGATCATTAGATTGCACCCCTTCGTTACCGACATATCGGATCTGCTGCTGGACTTCTTGGCGTGTGGCTGTTCACCTTCCTCACGGTCTTTGCAGGAGGTATTGCTTTTGAGACCGTGGGTGCGAAGATCTGGATTTGGCCACTTATTTTTAACGCTATCGCTTTCCTGTTTGTGTACTTTATGTGCCCTGATGTGAGTAGTCAGAGTTTCCTTTTGAGAAGGTCAGAACTAACTGTTTATAGCCGACTAACAAAACCCTTGAAGAAGTTGATGCACTTTTTGCAAAGGATGAGGCTGTTCTTAACCGTCTCAACCATGTTGTTGATGAGAAGGCAACATCGGAGGAGATTGAAGAAGCTACTTAGGCGAGAGGGCTGGAGGAGTGGGACCTATGAAAGCGTTGGCTCTTACATTAGCCACTTTCAGGATGGCACCGGTTCTATTGGGAAGCTAGATATTACTGGTAGAAATTGATGAATGAATTTTGGGTTGATTTCTATGAAAGATAGATCAATTTTACATTCGACTCTTCGGTAATTCACCCTCAAGTCTCACAATTCCCTGGAAAGGTTAACCGGTTAGTCATGTAACTTATGAAGAGAAATGAGTCAACGAACCTCCTGGATACAAGTTGCCACAAGCACCCCATCCTTGGTCCACATCTTCTGATGAATCAATCCTCTCCCGTTCCCCGCCCAGCTAGTCTGCACCTCCGATAACAGCCACTCATCCACTCGTAGTTCCTCCGGACTATGAAAGTAGATCGTATGGTCTAAGCTCACCATCATTGCAACCCTAGGAGAGATATTTGCGCCACTTTCATGTCCCGCTTCAAAATGTGGTCGCCGGATCGCGGTATGAGTCTCGGGACACGTAAAAAGATATCCTTTACTTGGATAAAACTCAGTAACTGGTGCTTGGACAAAATCCCATATTTCATGGGAATGTGGCACTGCTGCCAGGAAGTAGCTATCTGACATGAATGCCAACGCAGCTATATGAATAGGATCACCCGGCGGGGCAGAAATTTGCCCTCGTGCTCGAATCCATTGATGAATTCGTTTATCCTCAGGATTTTGCGATCTTCCCCTGAGCACGCCTGCGCTTTTGTTGATATACGGAGTTTCTGATGAAATCTTGCAGGATTGACTTGGGTCGAATAATTCTTCATCCTCATGCAGCATGACGGCTGGTGGTTTTGTCGAGTGTGTCAAGCTATGGGATGAAGCTCGTTCTTCTCGTCGAACGAAACTAATCGTCGTAAGGAAAATAGGTCGATTCCCCTGCATTGCCCGGACAAATCTTGTACAAAAGCTTTTCCCATCTCGCACTCTCTCCGTGTGGTATGTAATCACCTCCTCTGCATTGCCTGCAAATACAAATGAACAGTGCATTGAATGGGCGTCGAACCCGCGTGGAACAGTAAATTGTGCTGAACGAAGACTCTGAGCGATGGCTATGCCTCCGAAGATCCCACGCGAGCCAGGGCGCCATAACTCATGCTGATTTTTGAATATATTAGGGCGGGGGGTCGAGAAAGGGATGACTTCGATGTGCTTTTGGATCGGTGAGGGTTTCATGTTGTTCATTCTGTATAGCAAGAATGTCTTGATGTGTTTGGATACAGTACTAACTTTTGACTTGGCTTGTATATAGAGACACGCTCTGATTGGATCAAAGTAGAGATGAAATTAAGCCAAGCTTTCGGAATTTTAAATGCTAGGTCGGTCATTCGGAAATTAGGCATAGTGAACTTATTTGCCGCTTTGCGGCTAGTAAATCTACACGCCGGTCAATGTATCTGTTTAGTATGCTTTAGCTAAGGTTAAACCGCAGGCTTAGTAGTATTGTAGAGCATAAGCCATTAGGGGTTAAATTTGTATCAAGCGCTGCGGCCGATACGTCAGAATTATTGATGTGCTGCTTCCATGATATTTCTTCTCAGTTTCACGATCCGTCTCCTACATCTGTCTCTACCGTTTAGTCCATAATGCCCGCTCTTGACGGTATTCACGTCCTCGAATTGGCCGGCCTGGCCCCGGGCCCTTTCACAGGAATGATGCTCGCTGACAACGGAGCCAATGTGATCCGAGTTGACCGCGTCAATCAACCTCATCAACCAAGTCCCGACGTGTTGATTCGAAACAAGTCTTCAATCAAAATAGACCTCAAGTCTTCCGGAGGAAAGGATCTCTTTCTGCGACTTGTCAAACACGCCGATGTCCTTATCGATCCATTTCGACCGGGTGTCCTTGAGAAACTCGGTCTCGGTCCGTCCGAAGTTCTGCTGAAAATCAACCCGCGCTTGATTGTGGCCAGGTTGACTGGGTTTAGACGTGATGGCAAATATGCCAACATGGCTGGCCATGATATCAATTACCTGGCCGTGTCAGGCGTTCTGTCAATGCTTGGCTCTTCTGCGCCAGTTGCTCCACACAATCGGCCCTTGCCACCTCTTCCACCTGGAAATATCCTGGGAGACTTTGCAGCAGGTGGACATATGTGTTTCACTGGAATCATGCTAGCCCTTTTTGCCCGTTCCAGGACCGGAAAGGGACAAGTTGTGGAATCCAATATGGCAGACGGAGCAAGTTACTTGGCAACAATGCCGCGCATCTCGACTAAAATCCGTGGTCAATGGGATGAGCCTCGAGGACACAACCTTTCCGATGGAGGATGCCCATACTACTATGTCTATGAGTGTAAAGATGATGGACAATATTTTGCCGTCGCCGGGTTGGAGCCGCAATTCTTCGATCAACTGGTGAAGGGGCTCGGTCTCGGGGGTGAGGAGTGGGTGAATGATCGAGAGAATCGTGCAAATTGGCCTGATATTAGAACAGCTTTTGAAAGGCGCTTTAGAGAAAAGACACGGAAGGAATGGGAGAGGATCTTTGATGGAACTGATGCCTGTGCCACTCCGGTATTAACTCAAGGAGAGTTGGAGGCTAATGGTTATGAACTGAGGCCGGGTGTGACATTGACTGACACGCCGGCTTTGCCAATTGGTCAATCTGGATGGAGTGTAGAGACATTACAGCCTGGTGAGGGTGGTGAAGAGGCATTGACTGAGTGGTTGGGTTGGAAGAAAGGTCGCGATTTCCTAAGCTTAGGTGGTGGGTTGCAAAGTACATCAAGCTCAAAGTTATGAAGCGCTGATAGTTCCAGTTGTAAATATTTTAAGTGGCATATGTTTAGTAGAAATATTGTTTAGGAATTTATTTCGTCTGTATTAACAAGAGTCTCGCTTATTGTAAAGTAATTGGAAGACCATCCTTGGCCTCTAAAGCAGCGATCACCGCTTCGCACACTCTCACAGCATTCAATCCATCCTCTCCCGAGCAACATGGCCTGGCTTCTCCTTTAAAAACCTCTGCTAGATGCTCTGCTTGCCGTTGAAATGGGATTTCATCTGAACATTTCAACTCTTCCCTTTTCATGGGTACATTCCATCCTAGCTCTTTCCCCGACTTCGTCGCATATTCGGCATCATACTTCCACAGCATACCGTCGGGCTCTGTCAAAGTTCCGTGGGTCCCAAAGATCCGATATGAATCTACCTTGACTAGCGTGGGTGGGTAGAGTGGATTATCACCCGTTGCAGCTTCCCATCCAAAAGGACTGGCCACGTTATCACTCACGATGAACGTACCAACCACCCCATTGGCAAACTGAAGCATAATTGCTGCTCCTTCTTCTACTAGATCATCGCTCCGTGTGTTTGTATGCGACCGGCGACTCCGGGTTTCAATCACCCAAACGCGAGCCACCCTTGATCCTGTCAAGTAGTGCAACACATCGATGTCGTGGACGAAGTTGGTCCAGATAGGACCACCACCGGCAGAGCGGGAACAGCGCCAGTCAGCAAGACTGAAATATCCATCATTCTTCCTGGCGGTCCAGAATCCAGATATTGCAGTAATATTGCCGATGTCACCTCTTTCAATGACTTGACGTGCACGTACCACGGATGGGTGAAAACGGCGGTGGTGACCAACAAGAACCTCACAAGACTTTCGCTGAGCAAGCTCAAGAAGTTGCTCCCCCGACTTTGAATCTGTACAGAAGGGTTTCTCCACCAGTATCACTTTAGGTGAAGCGCTGTTGAGAATATCCTCGGTCACTTGGACGTGGAGACTCGATGGTACACAAATTATGTATGCATCGGGGATTCGAGGAGAGGACTCCAGGAGATTTTGAATTGTTGTAAAATGAGGCACTCCAAGCTGGGATGCTAGATTCTCGCCCGGAGGAAAGGGGTCGATAAGTGCAACCAACGCGCAAGTAGAAGACGAGAGTAGATACTGCGCATGGAGTGGCGCGATCGTGCCTCCGCCAACAAGAGCAATTGCAACTTTTTCACTCGAGGGTGTCATGATGTAAAACAAAGCTTCCTATTTCAAAAAACTCTCGAGCACTAAATGTATGGCCTACTAGTGTTCTTGTTTGCGTAAATATATTGAATGTTGGTGGAAGGCGCCGGAGCATAAATAATTGACCGGAGCGACCCCGCAGCCTTCCTCCCTACTGTATCTCAACCTCCTCTCAAATTAGTCAATGTCTTATTTGCGCTCTACTACGCTCCTTCGCTATTCAACAACTTCCAGAATGGACACGCTTCGTGAGTCTTTCCATTACGGGAGCTCACCCCTGACAGCATCATCGCTCTCGTCCCCTTACAATGCCTACCTCTTCGGCAGTCACATCTCCAAGTCTCTATCACCCCTCCTCCATGGAATACTCTTTCGATCCTTGGGTGCATCATGGAATTTCCATCTAGTCCAGACTACCGACAAACAAAGATTTCAAGACAAGCTTACTTCTCCGGAAACCATTGGAGTCTCTATCACAATGCCGAATAAGGTCACCTTTGGCCTAGTGTTGGATGATTTGACTGAGGCCGCTCAAGTGATTGGCGCGGTCAATACCTCCTTCGTCCGGCTTGATTCGGCCGGCAAGCGTCGTTATATTGGCACAAATACCGATTGTGTTGGAATCCGTGAGGCTATTGTGCAGTACGATTCCACTGCTGTCGCCACCGCCAAGGGCAATCCCGCGATGGTTATTGGAGGGGGAGGAGCCGCACGAAGTGCTATATATGCGTTGTGGAAATGGTTCTCCCCGTCAGAGATCTACATCGTCAATCGACTCAAGTCAGAGGTCGACGACATTGTGAAGCATTTTACGGCGGCGATGCCTGGTATTCAGCTACAATATCTCGCGGACATTGAAACCGCGCAGTCACTACCTGCCCCATCTATCATCGTGAGCACGATCCCGGATTATCCACCATCAGAACCCGGGGAGATTCTTTGCTGGCAGATTTGTGAGAAGATCTTTGGAAAGGTCGAGAAGGGTCTATTTGTTGATATGTGTTATATGCCATCCCCGGAGACGAGTCTGGTGAAAGCAGCAAACAAGGCGGGATGGAGGACTATCTCCGGTACGGAAGTGCTAGTACGAGTCTGTGTTGCGCAGCAAGTTCTATGGACGGAAAGACTACCGAATCAGCAGGGCGTGAGCGAGGCCATTGCTGCAATCACTCAACCGCAAAGTGCCGCAAAACTATAGAGTTCTAAAATCGCAATAGAATCGTTATTTACCTTCAATGCCTAATTGCTCTTAGTATCACCGTATACCAACTACCAACGTAGTAGCTACAGAATCTGTTGTAGTTGTAGTACTGGAGTACTACAAGGCAATGATAAACTCGGAAATCAAAATTTGAAACCAAAAGTGGCCGAACCTGTAGAAATCCTGGGCTTGCTCGAGCGTATACTTTGAGGGGTACTCCACATGATGTTTGACCCCGCAAACCGGCATTCAAATCAATGCACCGGGCGTCAAAAGACAACAGGTGCATCGAAGCTATCAAGGAAAGAACAGCCTTCAATATAAGCAAGGAAAAGTACTGTAAATCTCATTCGAATGGCAATTACACTTCATTCGACTTGCAAATTCCCCAAACCTCATCATGGCTCACATTGCGCCCTTGGCCCAGGTATTTTTTCCCCTAATTTGGTCTACATATGGATGCAACAAAGACAGCTAAGAAATTTCAGCCAATTACCCTCAAACTTTCCGGAAAGGTGATCAAAAACCGTCTTTACCGCACTCCTCTCAGTGAATACGCCTCAACCTACGACGAAGACAATGTTGAAAATTGCGGCAAACCTCTCCCTCGATATGCAGAACTGTACCAAGGAAAGTCAAGAACATTTTATAGAAACTGTACCGAGCCCTCGACTAACAGACAACAGAGCTTGCTGATGGTGGCGCCGGCCTCATTTGCACCGGCAACATTCCGATCCACCGTGACAACCTTGAGAACTATAACAATGCCGTTCTCGACATCAACAATCCCTGGGACCCCGTTGAAGCCTTCCGTCCGGCTGTGCAAGCAGCAAAATCCCGAGGCGCATTGTTCCTCCCGCAGCTGCAATTCCCCGGCCGACAAGTACCCGAGTTTCTGAATGCGAACCCAAAGTCCTCGTCGAGCGAGCAGTTGCTGCCTTGTCTGAATAAGACATACGGCAAACCGAGTCCGTTGACAAAGGCCGAGATTGAGGATTTGAAGAGGCGCTATGTCTGGGCTGCAGAGGTTCTGGCTAAGGCTGGGGCAGATGGGATTATCGTATGTCAGACATTTTCTAATGGGGTATTCTGGGATAAAAAGGCTAACCAACACGGGTAGTTGCACGCTAGCCATGGGTACATCATGCAGCAGTTCCTTTCTCCCTTGATCAATAAGCGGACCGATGAGGTATGCTGCTCGCTCTAGCATGGAGAGCTCATACTAACTTCTCAAAGTACGGAGGAAGTCTCGAAAATCGCGCTCGGTTCATCCTCGAAGTTGTGAACGCCATTAAGGAGAAGCTTCCATCGGACAAATTCGTCATTGCTGCTAAGCTCAACTGTCAGGACTGTATGTTCACTGAGAGTAGAACTGTTAAGATCTCAGGCTAATTGACATAGTTATTGAGGGAGGTACAAGCTTTGCCGAACAGTGTGTCGTCATCAAGTGGCTTGAGGACGCGGGTGTTGACTTCTTCGACATCTCTGGCGGAACCTACGCTTCGCCTGCGTGGAGGGGAAACATCATGAAGGAACTTGCAGAGCGACCCTCGCAAAAGGAAAGAGGAAGGTACGTGTGGCCTAATATTTGAGATATTTTCATCGCTGACATCAAAAGCTATTTCATCGAATGGGCTCAAGAGATGAAGAAAGTTCTGGTAAACCATTGCCTCCCGCTGATAATATTGAGATCCAAGGCTAATCTGTAAACAGTCGAGAGCTGTGATCGGAACTACTGGGGGCTGGAGAGATAGTCATCGGATGTCTGAAGCAGTTGGAAATGGAGATATCGACATGATTGGCCTGGGTAGACCTCTTCGAGAAGATCCGTTCTTCGTGAACAAAGTTCTCCGAGGTGAAGTGAGAAGGAGCAATCTCTAACAATATAGCCATGTACTCGTTTCAAGATTTTCTTGTTTGAATAGGTATCATTAGATATAAATCGTGATTTTGGATTTTATGCGTGTGTTTGATTGTATCTATATTGGATAGAATTGATCGGACCTTAAAACACGTCGCCAAATCCTGGACCAAAGATCTCTCGCAAAAGATCTGTGAATCCTTCCTCACCAAGGTCTGTCTCTGTGCTCATAGTAGCTGTCGTCAAGAACGGGTCATAGCTTGACACCAGTGGATTATCCACATGGGCACCCGATAATATCTCCATTGATGCTGTGCAGTTAGGCAAATTTCCTCCCAGATGGTAGCCCGGATCAGGGTTAGTTCCGTTAATATGCTGCGGCGCTACTGATTGTACCTCAGGAATGGGGACGACATCTTTAAGCATAGATGCTCTTGCTCGCAGGATGACTAGTAAGTGCTGGCCAAGTAGCGCAGCAATTCCAAATCGATGAGACGGGGTAGTCCCTGCGCGTTTCAATTGCAATGCAACTTGTGCTAGCAATGCAAGTAGCTCGACCTCATACCCTGGGCGTGACCCATGTAGATATGGGAAAAGCTTGAGAGCTAGTACAGCCGCATAAGAAATCATCGCCCACGTTGGAGAAAGCATACAGTACATTGGTTCTCCAACGACTGGTAGGTCTCGTACGGCAACTTCGCAACAGTGTATAGCGGCATCGAAGCAGTCCTCGCGAACGACGTCTAGATCACGATCGCTGTTGGCAGAAATATTGAGCGCGGAAGATAGTGTCCACAGCCGATTATGAACGTAGACATAATAAAGGTAAAGGTTTGGAAGCTCCTCAGGCTGGGGTAAGATAGTGTTTGGAGACGGCAGCCAAGTCGCTCGCCACGGCTCGAAAACAGTGTTCACGAGATCGCGCACCCAGTGAGGGTCTGAATGCGGTATATTTGCCTGACGTCTTATCTCACTTTGGAGGGTGGCTAGATGACGGCGAAGAAGGATGAATGCACAGGTGTGCTTATCGGTCGAATCGGCCAGCGGGTGCATCCACCAGTTCTCGATGTTGCAGGTCAGCTCTGTCTCAGGGAAGGCATTTATCCGGCCACAAGCTGCACTATTTGCTCGCTCCCAAAGCAGAATCCGTAGCCAGGTGCGCTCTCTATTGCGAGCCAGTCGCTGAAGATAGTTTCGATCTTCCAATGAGGGACTGTCAGGAGTTTCAGAATTTGCTGCAGGGCGCTCTCCGAAGGTGAGGAGGCGCTGAGATTGGGCGCCTTCAGGTAATCGATTTTGCGTATTGTAGGGGTCAAATTCCTTCTGGTCACGCGTTCTGCACTCTTGATCGAGCCCCAGTTCTGCTGCTACTCCAAAAGCATACATGGTGTATAACCATGATCGCTCTTCGGATAATGTGTTCGCAGGCGTTGCTGACAAGAGGGAGATATAGTACCCCTGGACAATCTCCACCGTCTTATAGCCACAAGTATGAACATGTCGAGATAGCTTCTCCCCATGAAGTCGTAGCCTTTTGGCGAGATGCCCCGAGCCATGATCGAATTGCGCCGTGAGAGCAAGAATCCAGGTGAACAAGAGGGAGGATCGGGATCGAACATAGTCCGGAGTGTGTAACATGGGATCGAGGATTCCGTTGATCAAATGAAGGCGGGAGAAATAGCTGTAGCAACTTAGTAAACTATTTCCTTCTGGAGTCTCTTCTTCAAGGTATACTCACACTGGAAATAGGGCATAGGCCTCTTCCATTGATACCAATCCCAAGTCTACTGGATCTAAATCTGGGCCAATATCTCGCGGAGGATTCGCATCAGGCGATCGAAAATAATTCGAGTATCGATCGGACTCCATTGAAGGGGCGAATAATGCATCAATTCCACTTTCGAGAACCTTGCGATCTAGGTGAAGTCCAAGAGAAACGTAACCGGGTCGGTGGAGCAGATATCGACCTATGCCCTCGCCATCTCCAGAAACGGACTCAAAATTTGAAGCTGGTGATAGATCTGTTGGGCCAGCTTGTGTTTCCAGTGCCTGTGCAGCACCGGCAGCTTCTGCCATAAGAGCCAGTGGGTTGCTAACCGGTTCCAGGCTCACGTGCGAGGTGATGGTCTCAGGAGCATAAGGTGTAGTCACATTTGGGCTTTGATTCGATTCCGATGCCGGTGGACCACTTGCATTGACCGTGCTTGAACTGGGTGATAGTGGCTTTTGGTGACCAGCTCTCCTGTTCTCGGCAGGTAGCTCCCAGTCGCCATTGCCCTGGTCATTTTTGTGTATATTTGATAGTAGGAGGTCGAGCATTTCAGTTTCATCTCGCCCAGGAGATAAGGTTTGAATCTCAGAGGCTTTATCCGTCGACACGCGTGCTTTCTTCAGCTCCGCCTGCATCTTTCGATAGGCTTTTTCGAATCCATGATATCGACCAACTGCCCCTCGCTTTCGACCTAGTGGGCGCGGGGAGGGAATATTGCAGGCACGGTTCGTGCGTCTGCAGCGCTCGCAAGGCTCATTAGAGTCTTTGGTTGAACTGGACGCATTCGGCCGGATACATCGCATTTTGAGCCTCCGACATGCTTCGCATGCTGCTGTCGGCGACGGAAGGTGGGCTTGTTGCCTGGTCATCGGTCGCTCGGAACTAGTAGCCATGGCTCAAGACTACCTTTCACACGAGTAACACAACCGCAGAGAGTGAAAACTTGATAACATATCCAGTTGCCAAGCGAAACGCGATCCGTTGCCTCTGCTGGGCGTCTTGGGTGGTGATGGAGAGTTCCGCATGGCGGCGTACGGGCGTGCTTTTTGCGGGGAAGCCGGAAAATTGGGAAATTACTGGAAGCCGCCGAAAGTTTACAGAAACACCAGAACAACCAAGGCTTTCTTATGGAATGAAGTACAAATTGTTTGAGCTCTCTCCCCAATAATGAAGTGATTTAAATTCCTCGTCCTTAGATCAAGTTGCGCAACTCTTGGAGCCCTGCGCTGCGGGGAGAGCTAGAGTCAGAATCTAATAATGATCGAGCAATCTATTTCAAATCATTAATCCTGCATGAATCCATGTCTAATAACTATAAAATTTCTCTCCATAGGTCAATAGTCATTCAAGCTAAGTAAGCTCCAGACTGGCTGGTTGGGAAGGAGAATGAGCAAGATGCATACCCTCGGCAGATCTATCGTCATCCCCACCCGGGCATTAGATTTAATAGCCGGACTTGCTCCACAACTGTAAGTATGACTCTTGAAATGGGGTCGTGGTCTACGCGAATGACAGACACAACTTAATGATTCATTCATAGATAACTTGGATTTCCTTCGAACCTCCACATTCTTGACCCGTCGTCTATTTCACAATGTCCACCGTCAAGGTAGCTATCGCGACCAACTCCCTAGGGAAATCGGCAGCAGGTCATACGATCCATCGAAAGCTGGAAGTGGCCAAGTCATACGGTTTTGATGGTGTTGAAGTCGCTTTCGAATGTGTTGATGCGCACGCAGCTACCTTCTCGTCTTTAAAGTCTCGGGAAGATCGCTTGCGCGCAGCAGCGTCGGATATTTTCACCAAGGCATCGTCTCTGTCGCTCTCCCTTATTGCATTGAATCCATTCGGAGCATACGATGGACTTATCGCAGCTCAAGATGTGGAAGACAGGCTGGTAGAAGCAGACCTATGGTGTCAGTTGTGTCAGATCATGCACATTCCGATTTTTCAGGTACAGTGTACATCTCCAACCTCGGAACGAATTACCTGCTAAAGATTCTTAGATTTGTTCGGCTCTTTACCCCCTCCAAGAATCCAAAATCACTTCCGATCCTAAGACAATTGCTGCAAATATGCGAAAGCTTGGGCTTTTAGCACAGAAATATAACTTACGTGTGGCCTATGAAGCACCTTCATGGGGTATTCATAAGAACACATGGCAGCATATCCAGGAAGTCCTCGATCTAGTCGATCTTCCAAACGTCGGACATTGCCTTGACACATTCCATATAGCGTCAAGAGAGGCAGGCGATCCATTCAATGTCGATTCGCCTGTTCGACCGGACGGGTTGAAACGTCTACGACATAGTTTGGAGGAATTGAAACAAACCGTCGACCCTTCGCGCATCGTATATCTACAGCTTAGCGACGCGACTGTTGCGGATCCAAAGCAACGAGGATACCCGCGGAGAGACCTGAATCAGCCAGCATTTATGACTCAGTCCAGAAATTGTCGCATATTTCCACGCGAGGAGAACTACGGAGGTACTTTGCCGGCTGTACAGGTTGCCAAGACTATCTTTGATATGGGGTACTCTGGCTGGGTGTCGATGGAAGTTTTCCATACAGACATGTTTGAAACTCGGTCTTCGTGAGACTCTCTCAGCCAAATGCCATGACATTCTGCTAACTTTAGTAAGGGTACCCGATCACTGGGCAGGCCGCGGTATGAGATCGTGGAATGAGGTTGCTCTTCAATGTGGACTTGGTCGTCGTGAGTTCTGTCGGTGGTATTTCGAGAAAATTTCGACTAACAGCTTCTAGGCGGGAAGATATAGCGAATTGATTATATTTAGGTATAGGATTCTGGAATAACGAAATGTTTGCTTAAGAAAGATGATTCTAGGTGCCGCAAATTTCTTGACTTTCTGATAATTTCTATCTATGATCAACCATCTACAGCCTCTACAGTCTTGTATGCAGTATTCTATACTCCCCTTCCTCCGTCCACTTCCAGAGTTGTGCCAGTCACAAATGAGCTCTGATCGGAACCCAAGTACCAGGCGGCATTCGCCACGTCTTGAGGCTCAGTAACCCTCTTCATTGGGATAGAGTCCATAACAGTCTGTAGTTTCTGATCAGAGCCAGCACCAGTTCCAATAGAATTTCTCAGCCTGGCATTTATCAGCAAGCAATTCTCCAGTGAATGTGAATCTTGAAGGGCAATTGTCAGTTGGACGTACATTGAAGTATTTCCAACCGCAGGAGCAATGCAATTGAACCTGATGACTGGTGCATATTCGAGTGCCAGCGTTCTGGTAAATCCCTTTGCGTCTATTGTCAGTTTCTATTTTTAGTAATTGAGACAGAATCGATAGTTACCGTGACGGCTGCTTTTGACGCATTGTAGATTGCAAATCCTGGCCGAGGTCGGGTGAAGCCGGTACTGAGAATATGCATGAGTGTCTATTTGCATACTTGCACGGTCGCTCCGACGGATAAGATACCTTGTGATGTTGATAAAGACACCATGTCCTTGTTTTAGCATGAACGGGGCGAAAGTGGATGCGCTGAGGAAAATAGGCTGAGTTGCATCGAGTAAGTATTTGGTTTTGACATGGAGGTTTGGATGGGTTACCTTGACATTCACATTGAAGGTTCTCTCATATTCTTCGATGGACTTGGTGTGCAGTGGCTATAGAATATATGAGGGACTGTTGCTATCTCGTTTTCTGGGATAGTTTTCTGGGATAGCCTTACGGACGGATCATGGGTGATTCCTGAGAAAAAATGGTGTCAGCATACTAATTACCTCAGTCCCTTTGCATTTTCCGTGCCTACCTGCGTTATTCACAATAACATCCACCCTTCCATAGTCTTTTCGAATGGTATCCAATACTGTCTCCCATGTCTCTTGCTTTGATACATCGCCGAAGACAAACTGTAGGTTGGGATCGTCGCGAGCCTTCGCCTCACCCGCAGATTTATTTAGGTCCAAAATGATGACTTTCCAGCCTTCTTGGCTGAACCTATCCACGATAGCTGCCCCAAAACCATCGGCACCGCCTATACGTACTGTTAGTCTTAATTTCACGACAAGATCAATTCTCGTCAGACATACCTGTAACAATTGCTGTCTTGGGAGATTCCATTTTGAATGCTGAGTGTCGATACGTGGAGGTTGACCAGGTGAAATAAGGCTATTTTCGCTAGGAAAATTATCCTATATCGAGAGAGACCTATGGGGAACTGTGCCATTATGAACTCTCCCAGGCCTGCATGATCGGATGCTAGATTTATTATCCGCTTTGTTCAGAAGTGCGCAATGCTGACCGGAGGTCAAATTTAGTTCCCGGAAGCTGGAGAACAGAGCCCACAACCACCAGGCTACCCCGTGGGGAATACTTCGAATTCTGGGGGATTCCAAAATTTAGAGGATAGCCAGTGTTCAACGCCTTACGCTCGCTTTCTTATTCTGCTAAAATCTACTTGGACTCACCTGGTGCTTTTATAAGTAGGAAGGAAATATCGATGTGGCGCACCGTCCCTAAATGACCTGCATCATGTACAACCCTCGCTAGGCTGATATCTAGTTTCATGGCCTGTTGCACGATTTAGAATGGCAAGCTAAAAGAGCGAGGGCTTGCCGTGGGACCTCTCTTCGAACTGACTCGCTGCCTCTGCCTCCTCTTTGTAAGCCAATCCTAGAGGAAACTAGGCAACGGTAGCAATAAGCTTGCATAGCATCAATCTGCTTCCTTCGCACGATACTACGGGCTATACAGAGGGGGAAAGAATGAACGCGAACTTGTACAGGACTAAGTAAATGCATATAAAGGCAATAAACCCGGGTATCAATTGGCTCAACAAAAGAGCAATAGCAACGTACATACATCTCCCCCTTCTCACAGATAAAGTAATACATACAAGTACACAGTTAGTGCAAGCAATCGTCTCGACAAGACTCATCAAGTCGAAGACAGATACACTGCCCTCATTGATCTGCAAGAAAGCAAGAAGGCCCCCCACAGGATAACAAAGCATGAACTGCGAATCCGAGGGGTGATAGAAACAATAATAGCAAGAGGATATATGCGCCCGCTTCCGACACCATGGACATAATCAGATAATAACAGCACAATGGATATAAGAGATCAAGGGTTATCCTCGACTCCGTGCATCCTGGTGGGTGTGAAGATGCAAAAGTGTATAAATCTGTAGCCTCCCACAACGGTGGGGGTAAGGTAATATTGGCAGATGAAGGTATTCAATGAGGGGGGTCGTTTCGCGTGAGTCCCCTTCTTGTCATACATGATGGGTGAGATCATGCAGTAAGGGAACTTGATGTTTGAGGATAGTCCAGTATCGGACGGGACGGTTTCTTCCCCATAGACTATGGGGAAGGATATGGTAGGCCCATGTGAGGCCTGGGCTTCTTGTTATGACAACTTCCGCGCCTTGCCTAGCCAGGTGTGCCACCATTTGCAGACACCGAGGACTGCGGCGCGGCCGTCGTCTTTGCGTTCGGTCCCATCTGGGTTACCCATGACCATGGCGAAGACCCAGAAGAAGGCCGCCGTCCAAGCAAACAGCAGGATGGCGATGCTGAAAAAGGGCGAGAGTGTCAACACAAGGATAGACATGCCCACGGCGTAGTATCGGTTTGATTCGCCCATCGTGGATGGCTGTTCGGAGTCGATCTCGGAATGGATCCATTGTGTGGAGGATGAGCGATGTGATGATGGAGACCGCATGCGCACGAGGCGCTCGTGAATATGTAGGGCTGGGGATAGGAGGTCGCACAGCTGCGATTTGAAGGAGGTATTCCGGAGGTATGGTGTAGGAGGGCAGAGTCGGAGGGGAGAGATGAGGATGGCGAATATCAGCGCGCCAAAAGTGTATAGGCAGGCGCCGAAAGAGTATATTGGGACCGGGATGGAGAGTCGGAACTATACCAAGCTATGTTAGGGCTAGAGCTCCGTGAGGGGTGTTTAGCTTATGGGAATCTACTTACAATCATGAGTAGCGCATCTTGACTTTCCACCGCAGGTATATCCACGGACACGCCTCGCTTTTGCCTGCGAGGTGTACCCGAGTGATCGGCAGACATCAACGAGGGTTGGTCGGCCCAGCTGCCACGAGAGCGCTCTTCTTTGTGTATCACTCCACCCGACACTACCACGCGGGTGACGGGAGACTCGTTGTCGACCCGAGAAGAGCGTCGTGAAGCTGCCGGAGACTGGGCGAGGGATCTCCGTGGACCAGAGGATCGGGGACTCCCTTCGTAGGGCGCGCCGTCGACGGAGGCGCGCCACGGAGCGGTATGACTAGGTTCGGGAGATTCCATAGATCGATCAGGCAGCGGGGCGATGATTGAATTGCGAGCTGCAGCACCGAGGGGGTCCTGGCCTTGGTGGTAGGCAGGACTATATGACATCTCCGGAGGCCGCATGGCGAGCCAGAGGAGAGGATAAAGGACGGGACGAGACGGAGGTAATGCCGATGGTCGTACAAGGCGCACGGAAGGCGACTAGGGCTTTGTAGGGCTCACTCCATGGTCTCCCCGGCTTAGAGCATAGTCGACTCTTCTTCTCATCAGGGGGCGGGCGAGGGGTAGAGACGGGTCCGGCTTCAGGGAGCGGAGGGAGAGGAGACGGCAGGGCAGGAGGAAATTCCCATCGGGAGAGGGAAAAGAGATCAGGGCGGAACGACAGACTTATAAGACGGAGGACCGCACAGCGGAGGAGCCAGGAAAAGTGCCATGGCAGCGGAGGAGGATTTCCTGCTGTTTGCAGGTTGTCTGCGCCAAGGCGCCCAGGTGCCGAGCCCTTGGCATTTTGAGGGTCGAGGCTGGTGGTGGTGGTACTGGAAGGTAATTTATTGAGAGTTGATTGAGGGGGGGGGGGGGGTGGATGGACAGAGCTATCCGGTCTATTAGGATGATCACGGGTCTCTCCGAAGATTCGATTTGTGAATCATCCGAGATCGTCATCATTTCTTGGTCTGTCGTTTGCTGGCGTGCAGATCGACCAGGGCTTGAACTTGGGGTGTTTCTGGTGAGGAAGAACGTATTCTGGAGTACTTTGTAAATTACATACTCTGTTCCACAACGGAAATTTACCCATTGCCAAGCTGCCAAGCCAAGTCTCGGGCTAACGAGTGGTTAAAACACTTTCTGATTGGCTGACTGGCCTGATGATCCGCACTCAAAGGCGTCTTGGCGTTTGGTGGTGGTAATTCAGTGTATCAAGGTAACACACGTGATGTCAGTAAGAAAGTAGAACTATCGTGTACAATTGAAGATAGAATCCCGAGTACGGAGTACACTTTACTCTACCAGAGCTAGGGCTTACTTGTTAGCATAAAATCATAACTTATGCTTGATCGTCTTCTCATGTCTTCGTTCTCTATACATCTCCTCCGATACACACTCCGCAATTTCAGGCCGCGCTGCCGAGCCCTGCCGAGACGCCGAGAGGATTGGCATCCATTGACCAGAGTGGTGTGAAAAAAAAAGAAAAGGGAGTGAAAGGTCTTGAACCGGAGAAAAAGGGCTCACTGTATGCTGATTTCCAATATTTCTTAGGTAAAACATCTCAATACTGCACCGAGAATGTCTGGGCGCATATGTAACCTGATCTAGAATCTATCTCCGAGGGAACAAGCAGTAGTAGTGCTGATCGGGCATAATAACAATAGTCCAACTAACCATACTCACAGACCTTTTACATTTTAATAATCTCCGAGCTTCTCGGGGCTTTCGGGTTTTCCTCATTCATTAACCCTTCATTGTCCCTTTTGTGTACCCCAGTCCCTTAATTTGTCCTCGGCAACATCTCCCAGGATGCCCAGTCTTGGCTGTCCATCTCCTCCCGAGTCTCATTCCGCTCGCCCAGCTGCCCAGACTCGGTGAGTCAATAGTCGCAAGTCCATCCGTGACATCTGACCGACTCGCCATTGCTCTTGGTCTAGGCTCAGCCTTGGCTCTACCCTCCAAGAGTTTATCTTCGCGGTTTATACGGAGGGGAACTTCTCGGCACCATTCAAGGCACCCTGCAGCACTTCTCGTCCAGCGGGCTTGGCTGGAACGGTCAGATCCGCGGCTTGCGTGGCCCAGCCTGGGCTCCCTCAGTCTGTCATCGAGGGTCGCACCCCCTTTGCCCTCTGAAACGTCGGAGATGCGGACTGATCGTCTACCCGACTGTTCCTGCCTTGCCAGAAGTTGGCCAGGGTAGGCATTGAACCCGTACGGTTTTCTTGTAAGCACCTTTTTTTCATGTGCCCGACCTCAGGGATAGCATGGTATGGATGATGGGTCCACCACCCGTCGATCATCGGCTGCCCGCACACCCTTGATGAAGTGGTTTGGGTGGGGGAGATCTGTCACATCTTCTTCTGCCCGCATCCTATACTTGAGCCAGCCATGCCATGCGACAACCCGAGTTGTGAGCCATATCTCGCTCGTATTGGAGATGTGGGCACAGCTCGGCCCTAGGGTATTCGGCAATGGGGAAAAAATCCCGACCATGGAGTTGACAGCGGGTGAATAATGATTCTACCAATCGGCTTATCGCCATATCTATCACAAGTTATCAATGGCTTTCGAGAATCCGATTGGTTGGCTTGGGTTTTGAAGCATCAATCGGCAATTCAGTTTTGATACACCATATCGCAACCCTTCCCATTGCAAGAGGACATAATTTTGACTCATTTAATCTAGCAATACTATCTTTGGGCCTTTTGAGTGACCTATCTCATATATTTAACAAGACTGATCATCTCAACCGGTGACCAACTTTTCACTTTCATTGATATCACAATCTCCATTTTATAGCCATGGTTTCTTCTTTCCTCCTCCAACAGGATCACCATCCGAATGCTTCTTCAAAATAATCAATCTCATGAAAACCTTGCTTCATGGCCTCATAGACAGCTGTCCGGCACTGGTCGGCCATTTGAGCCGGTCCACAAGTCAAGACACCAATACTTGACGAGCTATTCCGGGCTTCCGTCACCTCGTTCATGACTAGTTCATGTATGTTAGGACGACCAGGCATGAAAAGCAGCCCACCATTCGAAGCAGGGGAGCTGACTCCCGTACTTGTGACCTCTGGAGCAGATTTCTTGGAAAGCGCACAATCATCCAGGTCGGATTCGGATGAGATCGTGTCAAGCTTGGTGCAGTAGACAGAGGTCGTGATGTCTTTGTGTTGCAGGATTGCTGCCATTTCGTCCGTGAAAACTTGATCGAACATGGATCTTTGACGAATTGACCAAACGAGGTGGATTCTCAAAGTCTTGCGTCCACCCTTCCGGGATCCCTCCAGATGATCGAGGAGGTAGGGTACCGCTGCTGCAATACCTGTACCTCCGACAACAATCAAATTGGTATCAAAATGGTGCAGTGGCTCAGTGTGTCCGTATGGTCCTTCAAGGCGAAGCGTCGGATAAATGATACCATTTGCTTGGCGACATTGATCCCGAAGACGACGGGTCCAGCCATCATAGGGCCGGACGTAGAAAATCAGCTTGTTCTGATTCTTCTCTGCTATAGAAAACCCTTCGGTTTTCGCTTCTGAGCTGGGTACCCAAGCACCCAATGAGAAAGGATGGTTCTCCCAGAATTTCAGCACACCTCCTTGGTAAATGAAGTAGTGCTGGCCTGGCCTCGGCTTCTCGGTGAGCTTTCCAGGGATCATTTCGATGGTGATCAGATCACTCTCTGCATCGTAGATGACCGTGGAAGATGTCCCCGACAGGAACTGCTTTCCAAATCGAACGTTCAAATTGCAGTAAACCAGACGGAAAAGGCGCGCAAGGCGATCAAGAATCCACAATGCGACCGGTGACCATAGATATCCAACCCACTCGCGACCATCGAAACTTGTGTGCCTGGATACTCTTAGTCACAAGCGCCTTGAGAAGATTGAGCTTATAGAACTCACATGAAAAGACCAACGACCACCACGATTCCAAAGATCACATGCACCGCCAAGAAGATTTCGTATTATCGCTGCCGGAAGAAAGTCATAGACTGAACAAGCATAAAGCACATGAGAATAGTTGCCTGGAAAAATTTAGCTTTTCTGGTTATTATCATCGAGGAACTTGTATTGACAAACCACGACACCCATGTACCAATACTCTTGTACCCAAACACTCAAGTACCTGCCATCTATAGCCAGTGTCAGCTCCTTTCTCATTCACGGAAAGGGAGTTTTCTTACCGTATACGGCAAATACCACACTGTAGTTGATAGAATGCACAACGGCAAGGATGGTACAAGCCCATGCGACATGACGGTGGAATGTGATAAAGGACTGGGTACTAAAGTTGGTTGCCCAGAGGAAAACGTTGTTCCGGCCACTGAAAAGCCATAGGAATGGCAAGCAGGCATAGGAGAGAATACCGGTGCGATCAGAAGTGTACTGCCAGTTTTGTTGCCAGAGACTCGGAGTCCTATACGGCAGTCGAGCTGTTAATTATGGCCACCGAGAGAATGCGAGAAGAGAAGGTGAACTTACTGGATGTTCCCGGTGAAGCTGTCATATTGCACGCAGCTAAGAATGATAGTCGTAGCCCAGAAGCCCAACACAATCAGAGTGTCGACTCTCTTAGGAAGAGCGTGCGAGTACCAAAGCTGCTGATGCTTGGATGACAATGGAGCAAAGGTCGCCGGAATGATGACATGTGTACGGAAGCGATGGCACAGGCTCTCCAGGAGACTTTTCTTCTGGGGGCCTTTTTGCAGGACCGTCCAAGCCTTTGAGATCATACCAAGCAGCAGCACACCTCCCCAGTATCCCATGATGCCCCATCCGAAGGTTTTATCTTTGGAGATAGCATAGTCGTGCGTCACCTAAGAAATTCAAGTAAGTCTGTGCATCAGCACAAAGAATGAGGCGATGCTAACGTACATAAGACTTGTAAGCTCGGTTATAATAAGAGTGACTGAGAAGAACAGGGGATTTGATAGTGCCGGTACTTGTTGTACTATTTTGTTCCGGGTCAATAACGGACAGAGAGGTGATGTACTCGTCGGTCACGTTAGCTTCAATTGATGAAAGGTCCATAAGTGTTAGGCTGTTCTGAGTGCAGAGGCTTTCCCAGTATGGAATAGCTGCTGCGAATCCCTTCTTGGAACACCAAGCCTTAGCACTGGCGTACATAGAAGTGACTTCCACAGTACTATTGCAAGGCCCAGTAGACGTCCCGCTTGATCCATGACCCCGTTTAGCAATGATCACACTGCGCCGAGAGCCACCGTGCGCCGTCTGGGCAATACCAGAGGAGGAGGAAGAAGAGGAAGAAGAAGAGGAGGACGAGGACGAGGAGGAATTAGAAGCAGAAGAAGTTCTGTTTGAACTTGACCCTGCAGAAGATGAGGAAGACAATGTTTCGGAAGACGAACCATGACTAGTCGAGCCTTGGCCTGAGGAGCTTGATACTGTCACGCTTCCCTCAAAGGTGTATTCAGACAAGGTGGTGTAAATCGTGTAGAAACAATACTCATCCAGGTCGGAAGCGGCATTATGACTTGAACTGCCGCCACCTTGTCCAGCGAGTGCAGGGACAGCCGTCCAGCATAATGCTAGAAGGGCTCGCCTGAGATGCATATTTCGTGCTCGAACAAATATCAGGTGTTGAAATTACTACAGCAGGACTACCTGAGTTCTATTTATAAGAAAAAATACTGCTTTGCCTCCCATATTCACAATGATACATCTGATAAAGGCCAAAACTCGGCTCATCCCGACCAGACCCTCAATAGATGGAAAGGTTCGGAAACAACCCTCGGCCAGGACCACATATGAGTACGTATACTCTCTCCACTCGACAAGCCTCGAAATGAAACCAACCAGGATGATATCAAGAATGTCCATGAATTTAGTAATCAAATTTCCGGATTCGATTAACAACACCGAGGACGACTCGAGCGAGACATGCCGATGGCTGCATGGCTTTTCATGCCAAGCCTGGCTATATCCGAGTACTTTACTGATCCATCCATGGTTTGGCCGGAGTCGGACTGACTCATGATAAAGACGAATAACATTGCGGCATCGTCAGGACTGTTCTACGCCGATGATGTCGGGCTAGATGCCAAGCCATGGAGCTCGGGGCTTGGCAAAGTCAAGACCTACAAGCCTTGACTATGCCTGATTAGACAATATTCAACGAGGCTAGTGGATATGGTCATGCGATGTTAGGTCTAGTGGAGAAAGAGTTATCCATCTTTGTCGGGCACGAATCTAGAAAGATCAAGTTTGGCTTCGGAGGTCGGTGCCGGCCATTTGTGACGGCAGACGATGGGCACTACAGAGTTTGTAGAATTGTCTATTATGCAAGTTCTTCGACTCTTTATTCTAATTTCTTCAAAATTTCCTTTATCGGTTATTTCAAATTTGACAAAGGCAGGGTCTACATGTTCGCCCCAAACAGCTCGGAATAGCCGAACTACACTCCATCTCTCACAATATTCCTAACCTTCCTGTGGAGAGAACTTCCATAGATCGCAGAGAAAATTTCTTCTTTGCGGGGATTTAACCAATAATTCTAGTCCCGATTCGGTACGGGTTTGCGAGAGCCCCATCTCTTCGGCGATCAGATAAATCTTATCTACCCGAGCCCTATGAGTCTACCGCACTTGTTCCAGCCTCAATTCACTTACCGGATTCCGCCGAGATCACGGTCGGGAGAAAATTTTGCTTTCCCGAAGGGCCAGTCTGCTAGGTCGGCATGTATATAGGGATGGAACTAAATTATGAAATTAGAAGAGTAACATAGGAAAGAGTAGAATACCGATTAGGCGACGCTCATCCCAAGCCTAATTCTCTACATAGTTCTAATTCACAATCACATATCTCCAGTACAACTGTCATTCATTTTTTGTATTATCTTTGGTAAACCTCAACCCTACTTAACATCAAAGACGGTCTCCCCTTCTCAAAAGTAAAAACCACCCCACAATCACTTCCATGCTAATCGGAAGTCCACGATTCTCGAGCATACTCGAAGCACCCCAGTTTCTTCCGGCTCATTTACTCAGCTGAACCATTTCTGTCTCAATGGTAGAATCATGGAACATCGAAGAGTTCACCTGACGAACGACACTCTCGTCTTGTATGTTCATCGCTTCCAGTTTCTTGCCAGCAATCCGCTTGAGTCCCGGCACACGAGCCAAGACTTGCCAGAATTTCTGCGCAAGGGGGGCTCGGCCAGTCCGCTCCTCGTACATCATCCATGCAACGCAGGCCATGATGAAGAGCCAGTAAATGTTGTAGCTGATAATGGATCCATATGTACCAGTATTTTGCCATCCCAGGATTGCTTGGAAAACGTCCCATCCGTTGTCAGTCTCAGGGTTGCAGCAGTTGACGTGCCAGACAGTATCGAGGATATTATAAGACCCAGCACCCGAGCCCTCTTCAGAAACATCACTGCCCACTCCGACTTCGAACCGGTAGTATTGCAGACTCCAGATGGCTTTGGAGAACATTCCAGCGGCAATGAGATAGAGGACACAGGTCGAGGCAATCAGGAAGATCTGAATTGACATGACGTTGCCTCCGCGGTAGATCAACCAGCCTGTGAGGAGTCCGGCGATGATTCCAGTAACGACAGGTAGCGGGAAAGAAGTTGCAGGGTAGCCAAGAGAGACTCCACCAACGAAGACGACGGCTTCGACGCCCTCACGCATTGTGGTGATCAAAGGCAGGATAAACATGGCGTAGCGACGGCCCCAATCACTTCGCATCCACCGAGACTTCTGATGACTCTTCTCAACCAGGGCCTTGGCAATCTTTACGCGCCATTTCTGTTTAGTCTTGTTGATGCGAAGAAGTGCAAGTCCCATAATAGTGATCATGACCTAGAAAATTTAGCTCTTTTTGTTCGAAAAAGTTGGTGGGGAGTTCAAGTGGTGGCTTACCGTGGCAATGATGTAGAAGATGCCTTCCCATAGATCTTCAGAGGTCGACCAAGCATCATGTCCAAGTCCGTAGAACAGGCCGATGAAGATTGCTCCAATACACAAGCAAATTAATACACCAACAATTGATCCAACATAGACTTGCTTCCGCAGTCGTTTATAGATTGTCTGGTCTTGACCCGGCTGACCAAGACACTGCTTGAGGAACGAGAGAAGAACCGACACGATGATAATAGCTTCCAGGCATTCTCGAAAGACGATGAAGAAAACCTGCACGGCAAAGACGTTGGCCATCTTGTGTGACAAAGGGTGGAGAGATGGTTTGAGAAACCGGCAAGTCTGCTCCCAGTTGTGCTTTTATGTGAATTGAACCGAGCAAACCTGTTAGTCAAAAGACTTTTTCAGTCAGATACTAGGTCTTCACTGGGTACATCCGAATTTTCGGTTGAGCTGCTCTTTCCAGTACTGATCTGATAAAAGAATCCGCTTTTCATGTAAACCTCGGAACTAGGCCGTGGATACGGAGACAACAACAGACCCAGATCAGGAATGACTGGTATACCACCAAGCCACTCATTCTCTTCGGCAAATTGGTTTCCGACTTGAGTCTGAACGAATGTGATGTTGTCGGATAGCCCGAGAGTAGTTGAGAAACCGCTAAAACGGTTATGGAAATTCAGCCCGAACCCATAGAGTAAAGCTCATCAGGCGACGAAATGCCATCGGACCAGGAGGATTCTCTAATTAGTTGATGCATGACCTAGTCTTGTTGATGTCTTGGCAAAGGTTCGGAGAGTTGTGTTAGCCAAGACTAGACAAAATTAAGTGGGACCGTCGGCGGATAGACGCGTGGTTCACAGTTTATCTGTGAGTCCCAGCAACTTCCACGGTCAGAGCCGGAATTACCCTGCAGGGTTTGCAAGCGGGAACATGCAACCATAGTTGATCTGATAAAACGACACGCCAAATTAGGGATCAAGGTCCGATTATCAATCAGTATCCACAACGCTAGAATCAGTGTTCGGCATCTTCGAACGCCTCTCGGGGTCCGGTCAACCGGATTGCCCAAGTCGTTCCATAGGAAGAAAAAAATTTTGGTCAGGTGTTTATATGAATATCACTATGAATAAATCAAAGTGGGCTTCGGTCCAGCAAGACCTTTTCTCTTCTATCCAATTTCTCATTCTCTTCTGTCAGGTTCTGTGCTGCGCAAGATGAGGAATCTCTTTGCTGGGCTCGGGGCTTTCCAGCTCCTTCTGGGCTGTCATGCAGTGACACACACATTCGACTGGAATGTCACTTGGGTAACGGCAAACCCTGACGGTCTTGCTGATCGCAAAGTGATTGGTATCAATGATCAATGGCCTCTACCAGTTCTCGAAGTGAACAAGGGAGACCGCGTGGTCGTCAACATGTTCAATGGCCTTGGTGACAAGAAGACTTCTATCCACTGGCACGGCATGTATCAAGAAGGCACGAATGACATGGACGGTCCTTCAATGGTCACGCAATGCCCAGTGGCCCCGGGATCAAGTTATACCTACAACTTCACTGTCAATCAAAATGGTACCTATTGGTATCACTGCCACACGGACTACTGCTATCCTGATGGTTACCGGGCTCCTTTCATCGTTCATGACAACTCGTCGTACTTTTACGATGATTATGATGAGGAGATGACTCTTACGATGAGCGACTGGTATCATACCTTGGCCGAGGATATCAAGCCCGAGTTTATGTCCTTGTACAATCCTACTGGAGCTGAGCCGATCCCCGATTCATTCTTGTTCAACAATTCAATCAGCCAGAGTTATCCTGTTCAGGCTGGTAAGACCTACCTTATCCGTTTGATCAATATCTCCGCGTTTGTCGGTCAGTATTTCTGGATTGAGGACCATACCATGCGAATCGTCGAAATCGATGGTGTCTACGTCGACGAAGCGGAAGCCGACAGATTATACCTTTCTGTCGCGCAACGTTACGCCGTCCTAGTGACCATGAAAAACTCCACCGAAAAGAATTATGGGATGGTCATGGTTGCTGATTCGTCGCTTCTTGATACGATTCCGTCCGATCTCTTGCTGAACCAAACCAACTGGCTCGAGTATAACTCTGGTGCTGCACACAACAATGTGACTTTGGAGGTGTCTGACTCTTCAGAGATCTATCCCTTTGATGACATCAACCTCGTGCCACACGATAGAGTGGAGCTCTATAAGAACCCGACGAAGACGGTGGAGGTCACTGTGATCATGGAGAACCTCGACAACGGTGATGGCTACGCGCTTCTGAACAACATCACTTATACAGCCCCGAAGGTCCCAACATTATACACTGTCAAGTATGCCGGAGACCTGGCAACTGATTCCACCGTCTACGGCGAGTACACTCATTCCATTGTGCTCGAGCAAGATGAGGTAGTCGAGGTTATTCTCAGCAATCAAGACACCGGTACCCACCCTTTCCACTTGCACGGGCACAACTTCCAATTGTTGGATCGGTACCCGCCCTATGGCGCCAACTTTTACGACTACGATGCCGGAACGGAGTTCGCAACCTTTGATTCCTCGAATCACACCGCGTTCCCCACGTATCCTGCCCGACGAGATACGTTTGTCCTTCCTCCTGGGGGATACTATGTTATCCGCTTCGTTGCCAGCAACCCGGGAGTTTGGTTATTCCACTGCCACATTGACTGGCACATGATGCAGGGTCTTGCCATGACGTTTGTGGAAGATCCCCTCGCAATCCAGGACCAGTTCAGTATCTCTCAAAACCAGATTGATGTCTGCGAGGCTGCCAGTATGAGCTGGAAGGGTAATGCCGCCGGGAATACCGAGGATTACCTGGATCTGAAAGGACAAAACAAGCCCCCTGGCTTCATTCCTGCGGGATTTACCACCCGTGGTATTGTGGCTCTTGTCTTTTCATGCATCTGTGCGGTTGTTGGAATGATTTCTATCTCGATCTATGGAATCTCAGATCTGAAGTTTACCATGCATGAATCAGGTCTGGGTGATGAAAGTGCGACAGCACAGGAGAGGGAGGAGTATCGAGACTGAGTCGAGCAAGGAGATGTCTAAAGAGACGCAATTCTGTATGTAATGTACTTGAACTTATAGCCATATAGAATAGTTCAACAATCTTCTGGGGCCACTGTGAAATTATGCAGACCTTGATTTCCACCTACACAGAGACACCCACGCAGAAAAGCATTCTCTTAGAAAAACCAATATGTACTGTCATCTTTACTCATGCCCTTGTCTACCAATCGTCTTTCATCGTCTGTAAGTCGCAATGCCCTGGACGCCCACGTGTAGTACGCGAAATCTACCATACTGACCTCACCCCCAACCAATACAATCAAAGAACCCTCTTGAATCCCCTTAAACCCACAACCCAAATTCCCAACTCCCAAAATATGATCCAGAAAAAAGGGCGACAGATCAAGCCAGCTGCATGTCGCAAGGGGTCAATCCGATCGCCGGCATCATTCCCGAGCACGCACCACAGACAAGGTTCAGCCCGGCAAAGGATCGCCCACACTCACACCCCCTGCTTCCTGTCAGACATGCCGAGTCCCAGTCCCTTAACCCTACTGATAGAGAAGGCTGCATAATTACCGTACGGTGTTTGATTACTCCCAACGCGGGATAAGCAGCGGCGGGTGTTGGGCGGATGGCACCTTATGGGCGGCAGATACATTATTTGTACGTATATGTAGCTTATTGTTGTTTTATGGAACCATCCCCTCCCATCTCTTTTATACACACCCTTTGTGTCAGGTCTGACATGATCTGAGGTTAGATGCAGGGTGCCTGGTTGCTCGGGAAAAAGCAATGTTAGCCGCGAGACGGATAGGCACATGTCTTGGGAGAGTTGTTTTAGACTTGTTTGAAAGGAGGGTGATGTAATGATGTAATGATGTAAGACTCTGGGATCTTAGGATTTAGTATCTCTTCTCATACATATGTGCTTTGAGTGGCGAAGGAGGCTATCGCAAGGTTATTGTTTTGATGTATGCGATTCCACGGTGACTCTACCAGGTCTATAGGGCAAGATTGCTCACTTTCAAAATTCAATAGTCTTGAAAAAACTCTCAGTATTAAGTAATAACCTACCATAACTAGTCTGTAGGCACGCCATCAGACCTACACCCACGCCCCAAAGCCGATCATCGATAGTCAATCTCAGCCGCACGGTTGACCAATTTCCAAGCTAAAAGTACCATTTAGACATATCCACCAACACCGTATTTCGGCAATTCCCTTCATCACAAAGCAGAGACCACTGCTTATCACGACAAAAGCAAAAAAGTCAAAGGGAAAGCTAGCCTAGAGGGGCCCCACCCTCATTTTACGTTGCTTTTGCCTGACACCGTGCGAGGGTCAAGTGTCACAGGCAAAGACACTCAATGCTCTCAATGCTTGTGGCTGATTACATGACTCGTCTCCGAGTTGAGAGGTTCTGAGCAGTGCATATAAGTACTTACTAAAGGCTGCGACTCCGAGTCGTGTCTAGTGGTTATCTGATTCCCCTAGTTGACTCTAGGGAGGGGTTTCTAGCCTCCACGCGTTGTCAGAGCACATGACCTATTGCTTGGATAGCTCCGCCTGGATGCTCCATTCAAGCCTTCCAGTAGATTGGAAGGGCTCCGTTTGTGGCTGCAGCAGGCATGCCACAGTTCCGCGGGTGTCTTGTGAAACTGCCTGGCTTGTTGTGTGGTCCCCCCGTTGTGGGTGGACCGTGCCCGTGCACGGGGAAGACACGGGGTAGATGTGTGTACATAGTCGTAGCTAAATGGAGCTATATCTAACCCTTTTGTTCTTAAATTAAGGGTTCTGGTGTATAGCGTAAAATAGTAGTGAAGAGTAGGGTGGTTAGTATTTCCTAGATAGAGAGGGTGATAATGGGCTTCAGTATCTGGTTATCTGCTAAATGACCCCCTTGATCCCTGGGGTCTGCGGTCTGCGAGATTTGAAGATCGATTATTATAAGAATATATCCACGGTCGCCATTTTTGGTAAGTCTTCAATCTACATTATGGTATACTCTCCTAGTCAGCTTGGCCAAGCTTGAGGATGCTAAGTTAAAGCTACAGACTGGCGCTGAAGGCCAAGTCTTGACTGAGCGCCTCCGCTTCTCTGCTAGCCCCGTTCCCATCGGTCGCGGCGAATGGCTAATTCCCTCACGAACTAAAGACTAGAGTCTATGCTTACTCTCATAACCACATATTCAATAGAGTAGCTGCTGTATATTTTTGTTCCACCAGTGTATAACCACCTCCTATGAGAGCGCGTGCCTTCCCCCCTAATTACAGTCCTCAAAGCCGTGCCGGACCCGACTCCGTCCCCACAGTGGAACTCCTCAAGTGTCTAGTCTTGACTCTCTCGTGTCTCTCTATGCGCGCGGCTGCGTGGAGCGTGGAGCAGGGCCCATGCCCCGACCGAGGCAACCGAGTCGCGTCGGTATTGACTTAGGGCAGATATGGACACAGGTATGGAAGAATATATATATAGAGGGGGATGCAGTATGTCTTATACTAAGTCTTCGGTACTATCTATGTACTATGTTATGAACGACCAAAATCCTCACAGACGGTTTCAGTTGCGTTCGGTCCATCCACGTTCTCCTCCGAAGCGGAGCTTAAGGAGGGGGCGGCGCCTGCAGGGATCCGCTAGAGGGAGAAGGGGGTTACAACTTTAGGAACACCAGATCCCCCCCTGTTACAATTTATGTCATGTCATGCGAGTGACGGGGCCGTGGAACCATGAAGGATTTAATATATGAATGGGGATAGGACCTCGAGGGTTCCAGACAGCTTTGGTGACGGTTGTGCAGTGCACGTTGAGGGTTTGTTCTTTTTTTTTTCTCGAGCGGTTGTGTAACCCAGGCTGGCAGCGGAGGTTGTCTGTCCACTGTGTGATAAGCCAAGGAATCCGTTCCGGGAGAAGTTAGAAGGAAGTTGGAACTAGTGAAAAAGGGTTTCGGGGTGGGAAAAGCTGTCAAATCAGGTGACGAGGAATGGTAACCCGATTCGCGTGGCCTTTTGTGGAGGAATTGTACGGAGTGCCGTACATAGTATGAGCTGGAGTAAGCAATGATGGTTCTTCAGTAGTATATCACTGGCCATTGGTTCATGTAGTAGATATAGTAAGACTCCCTCATTAAGACAGCTCTTCCCTCTGAACGTCTAGCATTTCATTTCACACAATGGACTGCGACGCAACGGCAGTGGCGGCTCGGCTAGTCCAACCCTACGCGATAGAAATAAGAACAAAAATAAGAAAAGAAAATTCATCACTCAATAATAATCAAGAGAATGGAGGAGGGCTTGCGTACCCACGCCCCGAGTGGACCCATCCACTGGAGATTCCTCCGGGCTCGGGCTGACGACATATTGGGGGCCGATCGAGGCTGCCGCAGGGCTTAGGTGGATGCGACCTGGATAGAGTGTACAATGTGCAGTGTACGGGATCACTAGAGAATGGCGGAGGGGTTGGCAGGGCTGTTCAGCTTCCACACCGTACTATAGGTTAAGTCACGGTACTTATGGATGAATGGTTTATCGCCGGATTGGACGAAATAACAAGGAACGACATTGAATTATGGGGATGGTGGATCAGGCAGATATAGTCGGTGTGGGTGGGTAGGTTATGGTAGGTGTTCGGTGGGAAGGGCTAACGGTCAAGGGGGGGGGTCAGGGCCATCGTGAATCAGTGATCAACAAGAAACTAGAGTTGAGGTACAAGGTTACAAAGAGTACGGAGGAGAGAAGGTTCGAGTCCGGAAAGCAATTGACATGGGCTCCACGGGGCCAGAGCACGGGAAGGATACATAATCAAAGATCGTCGTCGACTGGCATGGGCATTTGCGGCAAAGGGGTGTGGCTGATGTGGCTGTTGAGAAGGAGAATATTAGTGAATGAGGGGAAGAGTGTAGAACTGTAATTTAAAAAAGAAAATAAGAAAGTACGAGAGAGTGATCATTTCAAATGTACAGTATAAGTATGTACCGTCCAGTCCGAGAATCAAAATAGAAACCCAGAATACGAGAGGAATAGGCAGTGTAGCACTGTAGCTAGGAAGATAAACCAACCAACTGGAGAACAAGAATCCGGGAAATATAACTCCCTTCCAAAAGGAAAAAAAAATAAGACAAAAAAAGTCCCCAAAAATGCCAATTCAAATGTGGAGGAAGCGAGACCGGACACACTAAACCGGTTATAGTAAGTGACTGGGAGCGGGAACGAGTGGAAGGTCATGACGGAAGGGGCGAATTGCACTAGCGGCTGGAGGCTGGAGGGGGCCATGGCTTTTTTGACTTTTTGACTTTTGGGACTTTCGGGTTGGTCTAGCTCTTGCTCTGGCTCTGGCTTGGGCTTCGGCTTGGGCTTGTCTGGACTTGTCTGGCTTAAAACGGGGGGGTGTGAGGTGCCCGGTATGCAAGTCAAGGAACCCTGCAGGCAGAGGGGGGCCTATAGGAGGATGGGAAGATAGGTCAAGGGAGGATAGCAAGTACCTATTAGTACGGAATATGGAGGACGGGAGTAGGTAGTTAAGGTACTTTTCCACGGGAGAGGGGAGAGTATGGATGTATCTCAAGAATATATATTTCCTGGAGAAACGAGACTGGGTTCATAAGTCCCCTGTACCCCGGAGAAATATAAGACATTCCATAACCAACCAGATCATACATAATCCGTGCAGTAGCTCAGATCAGATATATATCTTCATTTTATTATTTTCCCCCCTATCGATCTCCAGGCTGGATACAAATATGTCAGTCCCATAGGGTTGCTCGACAGCCCTGCACGCTGCACTATTCCGGGTTGGGAGATGACCTGGCCATGCAGCGGAAGAAAAGCGGAGTACTGTAGAGTTATAGAGAGTACTCCGTACTCTATACAGAGTGCGGTACTCCATACATACTTTGTACCGCGTCCCGCGTACAGTAGAAGGCAGAGGATGAGCCAGGGGTCAGGGATCGAGGGCACGGTCCAACCGGGTCTGAGGGGCCTGCAGTCGCCAGTTGCCGGATCTAGGCTAAAAGTCGGAGTGGCACGGAGAACAGTTGCGCTAGTCCGGATTAGGCACTAGTCTCTCGTCCCGGTCCTGAGGGAGCCTAAGAAAAGCCTTAGCGTGGACAACTTTACATACCTACAGTACGGAGTACATATGGTAAGTACTAGGGTTAGTGTCCCCCAGTGACCACGGGGGTGTCCACCCCGAGGACCCACTAGGGCGCCACTCGGCCCAACCGGGGAGAGTTCGTGTGAGTGAAGAATGATGTGTTTCATCACGAGTCTAGGAGGAAGAAGAAGAAGAAGAAGAAGGAAGGACGGTATATCGAGGGATGAGGTTTACTAGATAATATCATTCTACTTACTCTACTATGATAGTAATTTATCTACTATCAATTTTTCTATATTATAATTATATACTTGGACTATCCTAGTATACTGTATGTTCCAGGATAAGCGTGCGTCGACTTCCGTACACCGTTGTTGGTGGGAGAAGAAAAGAAAATTAAAATTAAAATTAAAGCCTTCCCCCGAAAAAGCGAGAAATAATGTAAAAAGAAAAATCCGGAAGAAAAAAAAAAAAAAAAATAAGACAATAACCGCCTCCAGATCGGCCCCATGGCGCTAAGCCCGGGAGGGGACCAGCTCTCTTTTGGCGTGGGATGGTGATGCTGGCGTTGCGCAGGACCCACTTCCATTAGCGTTGGGTCCCGTTTTCTCCTAAGGCCCTCTCAGACCTTAGCTGTAACTTGCCCAGTAACCCAGTCACCCAGTACCTAAGTCTCCCCCCCCCCAAAACCCAAAAAGCAAACTCATCAAACCCCGTCGGCCGTGGCCCTGCCCGGTCTTGGTGACGGCCGCAGCAAAAGCTGCACAACCACTAGCGCCGCTTGGCAAATTTCACACTTCCTGCCAGCCCCTCGACTCTTCCCTTCTCTCTTCTCGGGCTTCATCCTTTTCCCCTTCCGTGACTCTTCCCGTCTTCCCCTGCATCCTCCCATCCTTGCTATCCACCGTATACTTCCATCTTCCTATTCCACACTCCTTTACTCTACCTCTTTCCTCTTTCCATCACCCCCATCTTGGGAACCTGGCCGTGTGCTCCCCCAAAACATCTCCACACGAGCGCGCTCTAACTCGGTTTCTCCCTATCGTGGCCGCGCATCCCCAATCCAATTCGCGCCGATCGCTGGGTCTTCCATCACCGCCGGTCGGACTTCGCGTTGTGATAGTCTCCCTTTTCCTTTCTCCGCGCGACATTTAAATCTACGATTCATCATCCGCTGGGGCGTTCGTTCTCCACGTTCCAGCTCTACCCGCCACTGCTCTCTTCGTCGTCGGGTAGATTGCATCATCGTGTCGCAAAGGTCGCGGGACTTCTGGGTCGCATCACGGTGAACCACAATCTCATCTCACACCCTCGGAGACCATCATGTCGCATACCCAGCCCTCCCCTACCGCCGGGGTGGCCCAACACCACGCTGCCGCCATGGCCGCCCACGCCCAGGCTAATGGCCACATGCCTCCTGCTGCGATTCCTGCACAAGGCCAGAAGGGAGTTTCCCTCACCACAGCTCAGAAGATCGCTGGCCTGAATGAGCAAGTGTGGCTCCAAATTGGTATGAAACAAGCTTGTCCCGGCGACGAACTGGGGGAAATTGAAAAGAAAAAAAACATTGCCCGTACTAACTGTATATAACTTATATAGGCAACTTGACCGAACTGATGGGCGACCTGGATGGCGCGATGAATGCCTACGAGCAAGCTTTGCGCCACAATCAATGGTCTATCCCCGCCATGAACGCCATCTCGTGCATCCTGCGCACCAAGGAACAGTTCCCCAAGGCTATCGAATACCTCCAGAATATCTTGAAGCTGGATCCGACCAGCGGCGAGACCTGGGGTAGCTTAGGTCACTGTCACTTGATGATGGATAACCTGCAAGAGGCCTATACCTCTTATCAGCAGGCTCTGTACCATCTTCGTGACCCCAAGGTAAGTGGCGATGGTCCTCGTGACAGGGTTTGCGAAACGCGCGACGCTAACATTACGCTTTTCAATTTAGGAACCCAAGCTTTGGTACGGTATTGGTATCCTGTACGATCGCTACGGATCCCTGGACCACGCCGAAGAGGCCTTTTCTCAGGTCATGCGCATGGCGCCAGAGTTTGAGAAGGCCAACG